AATTTTAAACTAGTCTTTCACACAGACACACAAATGATATTAGCGGGACCTATTAAAATCGCCTGTAACATTTTGAAACTTTTCTAGCTTTCCATTATAGACCAGGGTTTTATTCTAGTACCCTATATGTTTTAATCTTAACAGTTTTAAAAACTGACGAGCAACACCTTTTATTGACTTTCTAGTGAAGCCATGGTGTTGACCATCTTTGGGATACAACTGTCTTCATATAATATTTCATCTCCTTGAATTGGTGAAGTGATTCTTGGACTCAGAGCTATTCAACCTTTCCAGCCTAAAATGCTTGGATAAGAGATTGTTTGGTGAAATGTAGATACTACCTATATCTTCCTTTGCTTAAAAATATTTGATGAATGATGTTATCTGTGTATTTTATAACGACTTTGAGTTAAAATGTCACATATAAAACTTTGAAGAGGTAAAAGTAGTTTTATTGCATAGAAAACTCTGCTAATAGGATTTTTACTCTTGTCCCCATTGTCAGTCCTTTGGGAAAAAAGTATTGATGACCCTTAAATCCAGAATGGGCAGTAGTATACGATTTTACCAAAATAAACCACACAACAACTTTTTGTCTTAGCCAAAGTTTAGCTCTTTTTGCTATCATTTCTATAGTAGATCCTAGATCATGTTTCTAGCCTATAGATACAAATATAAATTGATACTTCTGGATTTAATCATCACTGTTTGATTGAAAAATAATTGTAATACTCCTCATGAAAGGACGTTAAACAAATGGTCACCAGAAAAGACCCAATGCTAGGTGGGTGGCTTTAGCCACACGTTTTTGGCTTTGGACTTAAATATTTAGCTAGAGAACTTAGTCTGATTATATACTACATGAAAATTATACCACAAGAATCTCCTTCCATCTCCACCACATCCTGTCTCTGTCCCACACTTAGTAATGGAAGACAAAAACAAAAGAGAAGGAAGCTTACTAGATCGATATTTACTTACAAATACATTGTTGTCCTAGGAGAAATGGTGAAGACAATGAACTGCGTGAATTCATCAGTCTATTTTTTTTAATTTTAACTTATTGATTTAAGCAAGAGAGAGACACAGAAACACACACAGAGACACAGAGACACAGAGACACATACAGAGAGAGACACACACAGAGAGACACACAGAGAGACAGAGAGACTGACTTTGATTTGTTGTTCTGCTTAGTTATGCATTCATTGGATTATTATTATTTTTAATTTAAAATCTTTATTGTTTAAAGTATTACATGAGTCTCCTTTTCCCCCCATTGACCTCTCCCCAGCCGCTCCCACTCCCCAGCACATGCTCTCAACCTCTACTGTCTGTGTCCATTGGTTATGCTCATATGCATGCATACAAGTCCTTTGGTTGATATCTTACACTCCCCCTCCCCTGCCTACCCTCTTAGGTTGGACAGTCTGTTCAATGCTTCTATGACTCTGCCTCTATTTTTGTTTATTAGTTTATGTTGTTCATTATATTCCACAAATTAGTGAGGTCATGTGGTATTTATCTTTCTCTGACTGACTTATTTCGCTTAGCATAATGCTCTCCAGGACCACCCATGCTGTTGCAAATGGTAGAAGTTCTTTCTTTCTACAGCAGTGTAGTATTCAAAGGAGTTTCTTTTTTATTCCAGTCCTAGGTGAGTGGCTCAGTTGGTTGGAGCGTCTTTC